GGACGCCCAAAATAGCACCCGATGGCAGCCCTCTGCCCAGAGCTTTGTGCTGGAGGTAATCTGCGAGGGGGGGAGGAAGGGGACGGGGCAAACCTGGAGGATGCTCTCTGTGCTAGGGCAGAATATCTGAATTTCAAGTCTCTTCTGTGCCCTTTTTCATGGTAGTCGTGGTGGCCGTCCAGAAAGCAAGGAGGTTTACAGCACTCGAGGTAAGAAGGAAGTGAAGCCTGATTAACCGGCAGCAGATCTTTTCCATGAGCTGTTTAAAAACTGTTGGCTCAACGCATGTGTTTTGGACAGCTTATGAAGAAGGCTTTTGAAGCCTTCCAAGCCTGGGAAGAGACGGCTTGGTTTAAGTCCTTCCACATCCTTTTATTCAAGGATGGAAAAAGCTGCCCATGTGTTACTTGCAGGCAACAGATATGCTTCAGCTCAACATTGAGTCAGAGTTGGCATCTCTTGTTGGGGATGGGGGAGAGCAGAAGCTTTGGAGGTTGAACATGTGCCAGCAAGGGAGAGGAGAAACCCTTCTGGCCGTCCTCGGGAAACAGATGTAAACACATTTACTGCCTTTACTGACAGTCAAGTGGCTGCTGATTTGAAGACTCCTTTTTAGCTCAAAAAAAAGAGCTGGTGCTTGTGTATCACACAACCTGACATGGAAACAAAATTGCACCTGAGTCTTCCTTTTAGCTGCAGGTTTTAAATAATTGTGCACATTTCCATCAGGTTGAGTTTCATGGTCTTTCCCATCCAAAGATGTCTTGAATGCTGTATTTTTACTTAAATTGAGATTTTTCTGAAAATAGGGATAGAAATGCTATGCGTGTCCCATCCCGTCCCCTGCCCCGCCATTATCTGAGCAATGTCTTTGCAGCATCACTTACTTTTGTGTTTCTGATGTGCTTCTGTCTGCTTTTAGACTGTTTCTACCAGTTTCTGGGCCTTGCTGCTGACTCTTACCAGTTTTACGTGGAGTGCAAATTCCTGCTAGGAACCAGTCTGATAAAAACACTGCATCCTTTTTGTTTTCTTGTAGCTACTACACTGGAGGGATTATTCAGTATGTACACATACACGTGTGTGAAATAAAGGGGCGGGGGAAAAACTGAGTTGCAAGGTTTTCAAGCTGTGTTTCTTACTTGTCCTGTGTGGTTTTGAACGCAAAGTCAGCAAATAACAGTAGCTTGTCTTTATTCCATTCACACCGCTCAAGTGGAGCTTTTTCCCTGGTATTGGTCCCTCCAAAAACCTAGTTTTAACTCCTCTGAGCTCTTTTCTCAGTTTCCCTTCCTGGTTTTGGCATGCAACTAGATCAAATTGTTTTAAATGTCTGGAGTGCAGCTTCACGTGACTATTTTGTTTGCAGGTAAAATGCCTTCATTATGACTGTATGGACTTCCCTCAAATCTGTTCAGGGAAGGGCTCATTTCTCTTTGTTAATATTTATAGAAAAGTTGGAGATAATATATGCTAATTTTTTTACAGGGTTCATCAGGGGCAGAGGAATGGTTTAAAGCTTGAGAAATAAATGCAAAGTAGAACGACGAAATTTCCCAAAACCTTATCTTCAGGTGGGGAAATTGCTATTCTGGATTAATTCCATTGCGGAGACTTCTGAAAGAAAAGTGGTTTTTTGGAAGGGGGATATATAGAGCGTATGCAGAGGTGGTTATTCCAGAAAAGCTAAATCATATCCAAATAGCTGTGTCAGGTCATTTCCCCTTTACAGACAATAATATCCTTGGGAAAAGACTGTAGAAGTCTTGTCTGGAGGCTGCGGTAGGAAGATTGCCTGGTTGTGCTACGTCAATATTAACGTGCCCTCTCTCCGCTGGTGCAGACCCTGCGGCACGCTCCCCATGGAGCACGGTTGCTTTATCGCTGCCGTGTACCTTCTGCTCTGCTGGCACCTCTGGTGCTGCCATGCGAGGCATGGCCACGGCTGAGCTGCCCAGGCTCTGCGGCATGCAGAAATGGCAGCACCCAGGCTGACTGGGACATTGCTGCCCGGGATGGAAGGCACAGCCTGAGCTCATGGTTGTGACATGGAAAATCATCCAGGAGTAACTGAGGTTGGTTGTGGACTTCCCTAGCAAGGAGAGACTGGGCTCTGCTTTGGTGTTAGGGAAGAAAGTGATCTGTAATAAATGAAGTATGTGTGCAATGGGGAAAAAGCTGCTGCAACCAAGTTACTGTACGGTGTTGTCTGAATAGCAGCTTCACCCAAAAGGCTGCTTTCAGCAGCCAAGGGTGTGTTTGAGAGCTTAGACTAACAAGGTAGGACTGGAGGGACTTCCCAGCTTATCAAATCAGCCCTTGTTAGTGGGGGCAGGCATGTCTCACAACCTCCATCATGAATCTGTCAAGTGCCATCTCAAGCAATATAAGCTTTTGCCTTTTCTAATCCCACCATGAGATTCTCTTTTCCCCGGAATTCAAAGTAATTGCCTCTAAAGCATGCAGTGATCTGTTTCCCAGGAGCTTGTCTAGTGTACAGACAAGACTTGTAGCGAATGAGTTTGAGAGACTGGTTAAGAAACTGGAAACCTTCTGTAATGTCCCTAGGCCAATACATGGAGTGTGAAATATTGTGCAGCACCCAGCTCTCTGTTAGAAAGCTGCAAGTCAGCTACGAGGAAGGGACTGCTTGTGTACAAAGAACAGGGGTGATGTGCAGGAGAAGAGTGCTACTAAGGGAGCAACATGAGAGGGGTCAGAGGAAGTGACTTCTTTGGAGAAGCCAGCACTTTACTGCAGGAGCTGAATATCAGCACTTTCTTCTCACCTTTTACTGGCATCGAGGAAGGAAACAGATGCTTGAGGTCTGAAGAATAGAGTGTAGCTTAGTAGGCCAGGTGTGTAATAATAAGACTGGAAATCAAAGTTGTGTCATGGAGCTCTGCCTGTCCTGATGGGAGCAGGGGACGTGGTCTTGGTGACACTGGTATTTTCATTTTTCTTGGGACTACAGGTCAAAGAGCATCACTTTTTCTTTGTAACCCATTGCTCAAATGCAAATAACGTTTAGGTTTTACTTTTCCTTGCCCTGACATTCCTCAGCCTGTGAGGTTGAAGAGCAGTGCAGATGGATGGGAGGAGTGCTGTTGCCTTTTAGCACCAGGGAATCGGTTCTCCTCAAACTGCCCTGTGGCATTGCGGAGGCTGTTCTCTCCTGCCCAAAAGGCCCACAGCAGAACGACTTCCCTAGTGGGTCTGACCTGCTCCAGCAACCTCCCCTTTTTATGAGGAATTTCCTTTGAGGCTGTCAGGCCTGAGTTCTGCTGAACATCCAGACTATCTTAAGTTGAGGTGACTGCAAACTGGGGATGTCATGAGAGGCAACTACTTTGTGTTTCACTCTCGTGAAGCTGCCAAGTCCCATAGCAACACTGATGGGTTCATTTGAGTCATAGTTTGCATCTGGAAACTAGAAAGAAAGGGTAGTATGTGGGCTTTTGGTTTACTTCTAGAAAACCAATGACCTCTTTACATCTTACTAGGAATGCAGTTGTATCCGTGTATCTATACCTAAAGGTATTATTGTAAGGGTGCCTCATGCTAGTATGACATAGCCCCCTTTCCATAGAAAAATTGGCTGTGTTGGAGTCAGTAACTTTCCACTGGCATACCAGCGTGAACAGCAGGAGAGTTGTACTTTCTCAGCAATACTGGTGTCAGTAACTTCCCATCATTAGACACGTGAGTGCAGATTTGTACAGCAAGATAAAAATGTCTTCGTTCTGCTCTGTCCCTTTGCTAAAGATTACTAACATTTGCTTTTCTACCTGCCACGAAGCACTGTAGCTCCAGCCACTCATACAAAGCTCTTTCGTAACGTTTTAAGAATCTGTGAAATGTCTTAACTTCATTAGAAGTTCTGTTTGGCTGGTAAGAACAGAAGTTTTAAGGTGTCTGAAGCCAGGGTAACTGCTTTTAGCTCTAGAAGAAGCTACAGTCAAGCACCTGTGACACCGCACCTTGGTCTTTCTGCTTGCGAGCAGGCCTCAGTGAGCCCGCACTGGCGTCCTGGCACAGGCGCGTGCTGGTCCCTCTGCATATGCCAGCCTGCTGCTCTGAGCAGAGGTCACGGTCAAGCTTCATCTTAACACCATCAATACAAAAAGTAGTGCAGTGGGGTCACTTGGAGGCTGGTAAATAAAGAAATAAAACCAAGCAAACCCTGCATCCAGATTCCAAGACAAACGCCAAAGATTTCACAAATCCCTGCACAATTACTTACCAAAGAGTACCCAGTAATGTCAGGCACCTGTTTTAAAGCCACCAAATAAAGTACTTGTCCACTGTTGACCCCTTCACACACAGAATACTAAGTTGTAGAGCTCGTCCTTTAGAGAGGCTAAGAGTATGAATGGGTTAAAGAGCAGAATAGAGTGGAAAAAGGACCTGGAAAAGACTGATCAATATGCTCATCTGGATGCAGCCTCTAGCTACAGAAATCCTTAAACCGCTGAGTTTCTGAAGCTGGGAGGATCTAACTGGGGACAGATTGTTTTGCATGTGCGTCCTGTTTCTTCTGCTTTTTTCTCCAAGCCACTGTTAGTGGCCGCTCTCTGAGATGGATGGCATCGGCAGGGCCTTTGGTCTGACCCAGAGTGGCTGTTCTAAGATTGTATAGCAGGGAGAAGAGCAACTTTAGCCCTTTATCTTCTGTGGGATTGCAGTGATTTATACCAGGACTTGAGCATGGTTTTTGCTGGCTAACTGTGTAGACTTCCTGCGCCAGTTCACAGGAGTAAGCTGACTTTTGCCCTGGTGTAATATTGTTAAAAATAACCTTTGTTTTCTAGGAAGCAGGATCTTCTGTCTCTCACCTCGGGGAAAAAAACCATATTATTCCGCATGTGGAATACTAGGCATCTGTTTCAGTCCAGTGATACTATTGAACTGTCTGTAGCAAAGTTAGAGCATATGATGTGAATGAGGCCTTTGTGTTGTGCCCTAACACGGTGCTTCTTTTGCTTTTGTTTCCTGAATAGGGAAGAGGACAAGAACATTTTTGATTACTGCAGAGAAAACAACATTGACTATGTAACTAAAGCCATTCGATCAAAAAAAGTGGATGTGAATGTCACAGATGAGGAGGTATGGAGAAAAAGATAAAGACCGTCAGTCTTTTAACTGTTTTGCGTGTTAATTCAGTGCCACTTCTTTTCAAAATTCCCTGGTTAAGATTGTTATAACAAGGTACTACAACAGTTGGACAAACTCTTGGTCATTGAGACAGGGATAATCTATTTGAAAATAGCTTTCTACTGGATTTCTGGTAATGTGGATGTACTAACTGTGATGCTGTAGCACATCAGAAACTTACTTTCTATGTTATTTTCAGCAATGCTAGCAGCCACTTGCAGAATAAGATCTTCTGAATACCTCCCTTTCCCCACCTTGTACACCAAATGTGGTCAAGTAGAAGTAGGAAGTGAAGGAAACATTTTTTTTTTTTTTGTCCGATGAACTCTCTTCACGAGTGAGGTAGGATTTCTGCCATGCCATCAGCTTCTCATCATTCCCAGGTGGAGGGCAAATGAGTGACACTGGCTTTCCAGCTTCACAAAAACAGTGACATTGTCCAGTCTTCCTCTGCTCGTGGTGTGAAATCTGGGGTTGTCCTGTGCAGGGACAGGAGTTGGACTTGATGATCCATCCTAGTGGGTCCCTTCCAACTCAGGACATTCGATGATTCTATGCTCATCAGACTCAAAACACCATTTCCCCATAGGGAGATAATACAGACATTGCCAGAAACCTCAAGAAAAAGATAAGTGTCTAAAATTGTGAATTGGCTTGATCCTTTTCTTGGTAAAAGTAAACACCTGGTGTGGACAGTTTCCTGTTCATCCTTCAGGAAATGTAGCGGTACCAGCTTTATCGCCTTGGTTTCGATGCTTGCATACTGCCACCTAGCCCTGCTCGTGGTCCATCGTACGTACAGCTACTTTTGCCCGCTGCTTTCCAGCACATCGTGTTTTGGTGAACAGATGAAGTGCTTACACATTCATAGACTGAGACGCCACAAATTCAGTTGGGTTCTCCTGTAGCTCTAAGCAGATTTGTGCCCTCTGAGCCATGACAGCCCCGGCTGGGGCTCTGAATGCTGATGGCAGAGCCTTTTATTATTAATCAGGAATTCATGTGAATTAATTTTCAGAGGAGAGGAGGGGAGGGTATTCACGATCAGGGTTGGAATTTCACATCATAAATTCAATGAACTGAAACTGTCATGTGCCACACAGTCACTGCAACAGCACCATTTCTGAGCTCCATCCCTCCTTCTGCCGATCACAGGTTACAGAAGTAAATGTCCAGGGCAGTCCCACAGAACACGGCTGGAGTCCTTTCATTAATAAAAGCTCACTTTTGGGATCACACGCTTGCAATAAGTGTATAATAACATCACGTTAGCGGTGCTTCATTTCCACTGGCAAGATGCTCTTTCATAGTTAGCAGGATTCAGAAGCTCGTACCTTCCTCTGTGTTCAAGCAACAAATGTGCTTGTTTTCAGCCAAAGAAATTTTGTTTTTTAAAAAAATCAAAATATTTGGTGAAAGATGGCTGAAATACTTTTGTGCTCTAACAGCATAAATGCTTAGAGCCAGATCTGAAAACTGCCAGGTAACATCCTCTTTGGGAATTATCCATGAGTCTCTGATGTAAGAGAAGACCTATTTCAGAACTAATGGGTATTAGCACGTGATTACTGCAGAGTATGGAATTGCTTCAGCACAGATAGGACACTGAAAACTCTGCCTACCTGTGAAAGGCTCATGGAAGGAGTCCCACTGGTGCAAAATTCCCCCATAGATGAAATTCTCACAGCTTTAGTGGTTTTGGCTTACCCCAGCAAACACTCAAACAGGCAAGTAAGAACTTTTTTTTTTTTTTTTTTTTTTTTTGGCAATCTACTAAATGGTTACAGAACAATCAGACTGCTAATAAATAGAGTCAATTGTTTCAGGAAGCTTTCCTTCATTACTTTATGGACATAAACATTTGATACAAATTTGTTTGTCAGATTCTGACAGGACTTTAGGTTCATAAAGAAAGAACATGTGAAAAGTGAAGTTTTCTTACAAAAAAAAAAGAAAATAAATTGTGTGAATATTTTCACAGCCAATTAAAAATGCTTTCTCGTGTGAGAAGTTCACATTTTGCACACTCTTCAAAAATAGACTGTTTTTCAGGGACTGGTTTCTTTCTCCTTTGCGAGAGGGAAGGCAATCTCTGATTTTGAAACCCAGTGTTTTTACAACACACTAATGACCAAATGGAACTGTCCTACTTCTGTGGCAACGAGCTATAACAAAGATTCTGATGATATAAATTCTATCTTTAAAAGCAGGAAACAAGAAAGACGTTTAGCCTTTGTTCTCAATTTCTCAATTTCACAAGCTGATAAGCAGTCTTTGAGATTTGGTAAGTGTTCAAAAATTAGCAGAAAGAAAAGTTACCTTTGCTCTGAACAGCGCAAAATTCTGGTTAAGGATACATAATTTCCCTCAGCTGTCCCTCTGTTCACAGTTGGAATCGCTTTTCTGCAAGCCACATACAAGGCACACGCTAGCCAATGCAGATCATTTCCCTGTGAATTAAAACACCAGGCATCTAAAAGACTTCATCGAAGAGAAAAACATACTTTTCAGCTATGGACCCAACAGCAAGAAAAAGGATAGACCTGTGTCCTAAACTCACGAAGTTCAACCAGTGACAAAGTTGATTCATTGTTTCAAAGTTTCATTGAGCTACTTTGTGTTTTTAACGACAAGAAAAACAGGTGTTAAACAGATACTTCACATTGAACTGTGTCAAAACTAAAATTACATAGTTACTAGTTACCTTTATAAATGTCACACTGGACCCAAAGTTTAACAATATATTTTCAGTGTTACTCTTCTCCTGTAATAACATTTTGTATTGCCTTGGTGTAACGGAAAAAATATAAAAGCTACAGTCCCTTGCCATCAGACTGTTCTGCCCTGAAAGAGAGTGGGAATAGAAAAGCATAGTTTCCATTTTTCTCTGTACTACACAACGGAACAATTACTCAATCTGGTACCTAAAGACGGAAATTAATTCCAATGAAAACCTTTCAGATGTTACTCTCCCTCTTCGATTAAAAAATAGGTTTTAATGGAAAAAAAAATAGCAAAAAAGGGGGCACGGAACACGGAATGGGATGCTGTGCGTTTCTTGGGCTACATGGTAGCAGGGGGCCAGGCGAGCACACGCCGTCGGGGAAGAGGCAAGTTTTCCTCCC